ACTACTAAACAAACTATTAAGCTCTTTTTGGCCTAGAGGGGAAATGCGTTATGCATACCGGTAAAGTCCCGGTTATGTCGGACTCGCCAGCGGTGGCATACCAACAAAACCTAGACCTCCTGGACGTTCCACATTGGCTGTCGTATCCGTCTGCGCGGGACCCGTCGTTGAGACATTACTTCACTCAGAAGTTTGCTTGAGAGCATGAGCTTTCCTCTTCAGATGGTCACTATGGTATTTTAGTTCTCTCTGCTTTTAGTAGTGGCTTTTCTGTTTTAGTACGTGAGCCACGAAGTTTCGCACTGTTTTCCAGTTGTCTCTGGATTGCAGCATAGTCTGCGCTGTTTGCAGGCGTTAATTCCCGTCGCAATTTGATGTAGCAATTTCTTCTTTCTTCTTCCCAAGCTTTGCAACTATATATGCACACAGCGTCGTTGTCTTCATGACATAGTGCACATATCGATCTTTCAGCGATTTTAAATCTGTATAGCTATGCTTGATTTTTCCCATGCCAAGAGAAGGCTTGCGTCAAGTCCATTGTGCCATAGTTTCTGCTGGTCCAATCCTTGATGTTAGGGACAAGGCTGTGTGTCCATCTACTTTGCACTCAGGGTCCATCGGTTTTGCTACGTGGGTTGTAGGCAGATGGGCTTTCCAATCCGCTTGTGATATGGTCTAAATTGTCTTGGTTTGACAGGGTTTGTTTAGTTTTATCTTGCTGTCGTCCTCTCAGGTAGCATTGTCCTCCTTTCCTGGGCTAAGGTCCCTGGGCGGGGGGGGACACTGGCCAGTACTAAGGCTGCACTTTCGGATACCGTGCGATATCATGAGATTATCCTTAGAGCCATCCTTCTCTGGATCTGTGTGTATTTTCGTCCAATGGACTCTTTTGCTAGTGCTTCTGCCCACACTGGTACGGCATACAGTATTTTTGAGGGCACTATGGCAGAAATCAGCCTCCTTTTGCTTTCACTGGGACCAGTTCAGCATTAGTCTGGAGAGATTTAATCCAGTCTTAGCAGCTTTTCCTGCTGTTTTTATAATATGGGTTCTGAAGTTCAATTGCAAATCGATTTCCATCCCCAGATATGTCATGTGCCATTCAATAAGTTCCTCCCCCAGTTGGATCACCGGGGGGCAGAATGCTCTGTGGTAATCAACACTACCTCCATCTTGGCAACAGCCATCTGGAGATTTCTTTGGTCCAACCATCTTTTAACCCTGCGTAGTGATTCGTTGGTCTTCATTTCCAGTAGTTCCACGTTGTCACTGTGGCATATAATCAGCGTGTCATCGGTGTAGCCTATGAGACTGGAGTTCTTTGGGAGTTCGATATTCAGCAGTTCGTCATATAGAGTATTCCCCAGGAAGGGACCCAATCTTGATCCCTGTGGAACACCGCACGTCTTGTCTTCCTCAATCCTTTATCCGTGTGTGTAGATTATTTTCCTCTCACTGAGGTAGTCCTCCAGAATGCTCACAAGATATTCAGCAATTTTTCTAGCTACTAGGGCTTGTATAATGTCTTTCCACCTGGCAGAATTAAATGCATTTTTGATGTCAATCGCAACCAAGGCACAAAAACTCTTATTTCTTGTTGATCTTTCTGCATGGTGGACTGCTTCTGAGATAGCATCTATTATCAAGAGTCTTTCTAAATCCAAACTGTCTCGTTGAAAATTGCACATGTCTCTCAAGTCGTAGAAGGAGCAAACCCGCCAGTAATTTGCTCATATTCAGCAGGCACAAAGGTCTGAACAATGATGTCCGATCGATTGGCTTGTTACCTTTCCGCATGAGAATTAGCTTCTGATGTTTCCAACCCTTTTAGAATTTACCTTGTTCAAGACACTGGTTAAAAGGCTTTTGAAAAAGCCTTTTCTGGGTATTCTTTTACAACTATTCCCAGGATCGGGTTGGGAATTCCGTCAGGTCCCGGTGCAGTTCTAATCTTGGTCTCCATCATCTGGAAGCAGTTGGCTTCGTCGAAGAGGTAGTCAGAAGGTCTGCTTCTTACCCAGAATTCTCTGCTAAGAAAAAGTTCTTTGATAATTGCTTTCACCCATGCGGGTCTTCCTGCCCCACGATTGTTGGATGTTTAAATTTGCCCATAACAATCTTGTAAGCTTTTTCCCAGGGGTCGTTGTTCACATCATTTAATAGGGCCTTCCAGTATTTTGTTTGGTTCTTTTAATCTCCGTTTTTTGTCTTTTGCGGGCCATCTTGTAATTTTCCATCAGGAGAATGTACGTTTTAGCTCTTGTTGCAAGTCTTCGAGCTTAAGCACGTGTTTGAGAAAGCTCTGCAATAACCACCAATATACCTGATTTTTCCCCTTTGGGCTCCTACGTCTGGGCATTGAGATGTCACACGTATTTTTAACGGTTTCGCACGTTTCCTGTACCACCTCTTCAAGGGACTCTGCACTCTTTCTTTTACTCCACCCCATGGAATCCAGTAATTTAGCTTCATCAAGGAATTCTATGGCATCAGCTTCTTTTAGCTTTTTGGTGATCCATGATGAACCGATGTTTGGCTGATTCCTTCTTCTAGCTCTGTTTCCAGTGGATGAAGTGGAGAATTCCATGAAGCAGTGATCCCTAAGTGTTTCAGCGTCGAGAACCTGCCAATCGAGGACATTCTTGGCAATCCTTCTGATTCCTATTGTCAAGTCTATTATCGAAGAAGCTGCGCCCCTTTGAAATGTACATGAGCTCCCTGTGTTTAGAACTACCAGATTCTTCCTGGCCAGGAATTCGCAATATCGCCTCTGCAATCAGTTCTCCTTTCACCCCATTCCGGGGACTTGCTGTTAAAGTCTCCAGCCAATTTTTCTCCTGGGGCTGAGTTCATGCTTGCCTCCAGTTCATCGATTTGTTTCTTAAATTCCTCTATAAGGTCGTTTGGGGAGAAATAGCAACTATATATTCTAAGGCTGTCCATTTCTACCCATACAAACCGTTTGTTTGTAACTTTAAATTTAGAAGCTTTTAATTTGGAGTTAAGTACTATAATTCGTGCACGTCTGGTCGTGTCCTTGTAGAGGGATATGTCGTCAATATTGTGCTGCTCACTGACCAATAAGACATCCATCTGTCTTTCCCTTGCCGTTTGAATAAGTAGTTTTGGGAGGTCTTTCCCTTTGCCTAAATTAATTTGAAGGAACCTAGGCATTCTTTGTTTGACTGAGTTTACGTGTCCTCCTGATTGTCTGGATCTTAGCATTGTGTTGCTCCTTCGTTTGCTGTCAATTTGATGGCCTGATTGGTGGGTCTTCTGTTCCTTGCCTTGAGAGTTTGATTGCCTTCTGTGGTGGAACTCTCCTTTTTCTTCGCCATCTTCCTGTGATCCACTTTCTGCCAGTTCTCATGGGGGTTTGATTTTTCAGTAACCAGCTCTATGACTTCTTCCTGTTTGTCTTTCTTGTCAGGCCTCTTGATATGTAGTGGACTTAGAGCTTGTCTCTTCTTATTCTGGGACTGTGCTGTTTTCACCGACTTCCTGTTCATCCGTGGCTGTGTTTGTCATTCTCTAGAAGGATTATTTTCTCATACATGCCCTGTTGGCCTCCTTTACTGTTTTTCCATCTATTTTTTAGGGCATCCACCTCTTCTACAGCTATAGCCAAGGTGTCCTTCACTCTAACTGGGTTATTTTTCAGTATGTTACTACTAATGATAAACAATTGACTGTAGACGGGCAATAATCTCTGAATTGTCTTCCATCAACATTTGAGTCATCACCCAGTTATCTGATGTCCAGCCCCTCGCATTACTATTCCCTGCCGTGGGCTCTTGGACCAGGGTTGCCTTGTCTCCTGTGGGTACACCAGTTGTCGTGGGGGTACTTGAAGGTGATCTCCGCTGTTTTTGACATCCCAGAAAATGGGTTAAAGACTGCTTCCTCTAGGCTTTCGCTTGTCGCAGTGTAGTATTTCAGAGACACCAAGCGATCCATGTCTCTGAGATTGCAGTCGCTGGTTGACGGCCTCCAGGGGCCTGCTTGCCCACCCCGGCTGCCATGGGGCTCCGATCCTCTGCACTGTAACAGTTGATATTGAGGGACCGTCCATTGTGGGTTTCTTTTCAGGGTCACCTTCCCCTAGCGTTTTAACGCTGTCGCCGGTGCCTGAATTTGGTCCACGGGTGGTATTTTATATTCCACCTACCCTCCAGCTTGGTTGGTAAGAGCATTCCCCGATCCGCCACCAGGGGACGCATCTGATTAGAGACCAGTCTACTCCCACGGATTATTATTGTTGTTGTTATTATTATTATTATTATTATTATTATTATTATTATTATTATTAATTATTATTATTATTATTATTATTTTGAGTTTAAAAGTAATTTCAATTAATATTTCTGAAAAACACTCAGGCAGATCAAATTTTAAAACTTGTGAAGTTTGGCCTAGCTCAGTGTGTTCAGTATTATGGCATTGCTATTATTCTATTGTATTAGTCATATTCTTTGTCCATATTATCTATATGATTCTTATAACGTTTCTTATAACCCTCGATTAAGTTGCTAGGATTGATGCTCAAAAATGTTTTTTTCTAATAAGAGTTTGCCTGCCGTTCATAAAGATACACATAGACCATGCTATATATTGAAATTAATAACTAATGAAAAAATTGACTAACAAAGTCATGCTTAAAATGGTCCAGTTTTATCATTCATTTTATCGAATTCGGTGCCTTGTAGACATTGTACTTACATCCCAGAGATGCAAGTTGGCCCACTGTTCTCGCTTCAAGGCACCTTTTTTTTTCACCTGGACACCCTTTGAACAAAACCTTTCACCACAAATCATATAGAAGAAAAAAAAATGTTTCTCTGATTGGGGTACAAAAAACTCGTAAGAAAAACAAGTGCTGAGTTAACATGCTCAAATCTGGTTATATAGGCCAAACACAAAGGGCTTTTATAATTATAACTTAAAATTCTAGATGTATAAAATGTTCTTGAAATATGTCTATCTTTATTATTTTATTACAGAATCCACGTCCACGTGGTCTTTTGAAATGCAAGAGTCAGATGTTTGAAGAATTTGTACAAGAAACACGGCTATATTTGCGCAGTCAGTTAAAACTTTGTGAAAGAGCTTGCCAGCGTGTTTTAATGTATTCCAATAACTTCTTACACAAACACCTCAAGTCTGCGCCAGATAAGTATGTATAGAATTTTCAGCCAAGATTTCTTTACTAAAGTATATATCTTGTCTTAAATTCATTTGCAAATTTCTTTTGTGTAAGTACCTATTTTTAAATATGCTCAAGTATGTGTCAACCATTGGAAACTTCTAGTAACCAGTATTTTGTCACACAGTAAGAGAAAAAGAAAGTAGGTACAATGTGCAGTGAATGAAAGAGTGATGTTGGGTTAATTTATTGATCAAATGCATCTAATGTGTATATAAAAACATTAATTGCTTTTAGCAAAATTATAATGTAATATAATGCGATATGAATGCAGTGAATGAAATGATATTCATTTGTAAGATTTTAAAGAAAAAAATGGTGAGTTAAATAATATAGAAATATAATAACTGTTAGTAAAGGATTAAATATGTTCTAGTTGCAGTAGTAAATATAATGTAAGTCCAGGATATAAAATACTTATATTTCAATTTAATTTTTAATATGACAATTGAGAAAAGAGTAAGAAAATGTTTGCTGACTGCAGCAACACAGTTCATTCATGAGGTCTAAATCAGGTTGATGGGAATACTGTTTTTCAAACTTATTTCACAGTACTACTGTGATCATACTAGCAGACACAAAATGACTGAGCTATTGTTCAGTTCTGATGCACATTTTCTACAGCTTTTTGTATTGTAGGTTTCTTCCTGGATTATATATTGGTTTAAAAGATCTCAAATTTACTTTTAAAAGATCAGACATTTGCTGCTTGTACTACAATGAGAGGCAATGCATTTGATACTGTATTCAGCCAGTAGTGATCTTAAGTATGACTGTGAATATATCTGAGACTGATATCAGAAAACTAACTAACCTAAAGTTATTATAAAAAAAATAAAAAAACTAGAGATAATTTTGCAAGTTTGTATTAATTTATTTCCCTCTCCTGCAAAATGGCTGGTGAAGGGCTGTGTTCATAGCTCAGGTTGTTTGTTGGGGGTGGTGATGGGCCTGACAATATTCTTATCGTTTATAGATAGATAAATAATTATGGTGTGATTATTACAGGAGGTTAGTATTCTTTTCTCACAATTTTTGCTCAGAGGTAATACCATTTGAGGGCGTAACTTTTACTAAAAATGTTGTTTGTGTAATAACAATCATGATGATTGTATTGTTTATAGTGGTGTTGTGTGATTAAAATCAAATGTGTAGAACAAAGACCAAGGAAGGCATTTTCCAAATAGTCATTCTTGAATAATCTCTTAGTTAAGACCCTAAATACCTTAAATGCTTATCAGATGAATGACTCCAAATATGATTTATTTAAAAAGGTTTATGTATAACGCAAATACTCCTAGTACTCTAAGGAACAGTGATGAATCATGTACTGAAGCAAACCTGGGCAAGAAAGATATGAAACCCAGCAATTGAAGTGACATGCACTTCACCCTTAAGAATGCTCTTCACTACGGTTTCATTTGGGGTGTTCACACAATTTCCTTATGGAGAGTTAAACCTAAGGAGAATTTGTCTCTCTTGAGGTTCCTCACTTAAGTTTCTCCAATCCATATTGTCATAGAGCTGACTCAGCACAACTACTTCTGCTTTCTATATTTTTATTTGATAGGTAGAAAGCCTATACCCTATTCTCTCCTACGCCACTGGTTGTTCAATATGAACGTGCTTATGCGAGTTATTCTTGCCTTGGTAAATTACTTTATGCTTCATGGGTTTTAATTAGTCATTTATGTTTGTGCAATGTCACAAGCTTGTTTGTTGATGTATTTGATTTCCAAAGATACCTTTTTACAACAGAATTTCTAAGTTAATCAGTTAAACTAAATATAATGATACCTCGATTATCTCAGGTGAAAGGGGGTGGAACCTTGTTACATAATCTGTATTCTTGAATAATGAAAGTAAAAGAACAATAATAGTAAATACACTGTACATGGATTTTATATTTGAGACAATCACTTCATAGAAATATGTACTTATGTGCTACCCCAATTCTTGAAATTTAGTCAATGTTTACACTTTATAAAATTAAGATAATTAGGGTTCCACTCTTTTCACTCTCTTTACAGCTTAATTGTTCCAGGCGTGCCCGCATTGAGCGTCTTGGGGGAAGCTCTCGTCCACCTTTGTGTCCCATTTCAAGGCTTCCAAATGAAAGTTGCTGTCAAGAGCGCTGTGTCTTAATGGCGCTTACTCACTCACGCCTTCTTGAAGATTGGCGTACATCTGCACGTCGTAGTCAGCGTGATGCGCGACGTGTTCTGGCAGAAATGCTTACCCCATCTGGAGGCTCCAAGGCAAATTGTTACAAATTTATTAGAATGGTTACAGGTGAGACTTCGTGGAATTTTGATATGAACATCAAATACATATGTAATTTCTGTCCATACTACATTCCTGGGAACCATATATAACGAAGATATCCCTTGAGCTCACACCAACATAGCCCTTAGGACCATCTTGGACCTGAACCATTACGTAGTAGGGATTTCTCATGGCTATAGTTCGAGGCATGAGAATTTGGGGTATTGGAATCCAATTATTCATGCAGACAGATTGCACAGTAATACTTTCATCAGTTTTTCATTGTGTGGTGGAGCAAAAGTAACTTTGTGATGAAGTCTCGCCGGACATTCTGGACTCTACAAACAGTGACTCCAACTTCTTGATGTTTAGAACTCTCAGGGGCAGGGGTAGGGGCGAGTGTACCTATGGGGAGGCAAGGACTCTGGCAAAGACCTGGCACTGTGGCTTAAAGCTTTGTATTTTTTGCTATTTTTTTGAATTATTGTCAAATGTTAGCAAATATTCCTTACATCTTCAATGCCTAGTCTGATAGTTCTATGTTCTTAAGATTGAGCATATTCTTTGGAGTATCTCTCAAGAAATGTTTAAAACGGTGCATGAATATTCATTTTAAATTTCCATGATATCGGAGCTGTTCAACATGAGCCTTGTAGCTAGTCAATTTTCAATGAGTTACCTCAAACCTTTCTAGGCTAATGTTGTTATTGTATTGTAATGTTTAAGTGGAAATGAGTGCTATAAATATTCATCCAATATAATGCTGTATAATGTATTTCGTGAAATTACAGTTTCGTTTATCACCTTGTTCTTGCGATTTTTCATCTGTGAAATAAATGCACTGTTTGTACAAGTTTGTGCAAGTTTGGCTGTTAACTTTTTCTAATATTACCGTGTCTATAAATTACATAAAGCCATCTTTTGTGGATTGCTAACATTTCCTCTTCCTAAACTAGTTGTTTGTTTTGCTAGGAAATTTAAATCACTAATTATGGAAATACAGGTTTTAGTTTTATCTCTTATATTAACTCTCAAACCACAGAGTTATGTTGAAAATGATAGTCATATTTTTTCTAAGCATATTGATTAAAACAAAATATATTTTATGGACATTTTATGATCACCTGTTTAAATTAAACTGTGTTGATTTACTTACATGTAAATGATATTTGTTGATAGTTGTGGTATTCTAGAGCATTGTGAATTTTCCTCAAAACACTATCTTGTGGAGAAGAAAGATTAATATTTCCCTTCCTTTGTTTCATGCAGGATGCAGTCAGACGACAATTTGTTTAGTAAGTGAACAAATGTGGCGTACACAAGGCAACCGAGAACCCCCTGAGCATGGATTGAAGAATTGGTGGCAGAAAAGAGCAGGACTTAATTCAGAAGAAGGTAAATAGACTATTGAACTGACTTTGTGAACATTCCAAGTAAAAGATGACAATGAAATTCAGATTTATTATGGGAATATTTTTTCCAAACAAAATCAATTTAGAATAATGCGGACAGGCAACATGTTTCAGTGAATTCCATTTCCTCTTCAAAGGAATACCCACAACAAATTAGTAATCATTCAAATGTTTTTCACTCTTTAAATAATACTTTTTGATGTTAATAAATGTATATCTCACCTACTAGTTACTGTTGTTCAAGAGGAATACCATGTGTGTAGTCACCATGGCAATTGTGGCAGATGTGCACTTTATTGCAGATTTTTTGCATCCACACTTGGTTCCTACAGTGCATTTGCAAAATCTTGGTACTAAACTTCATATTGAGCAACAGGTTCTTTGCTCTCAATGAGTTTCACGTGTATGTACTTAAATTACCATCTCCATTGTTTAAGAGACTGTTCATGTCCTAGCCACAACTATACCTGGTGTTACACAGGATCAACTTTCTGCCTGGCAGCTCTCTCTCTTTGAAACAGTGTCTGAACATAAGATTTTATTTTGGAAATTGATTTTGCAACAGAAACATACCTGAGATAAGTAAGGGAAGTTTCCTTTGAGAATGCTCCATACATTTCAAGAAGTATCTAATTCCAGCTTCTACAACAGCCCTGAGCATTGAATCTAGTCACTGAACATGTTATTGATTGAGAAGATCTTGATACTTTTTGAACTGTTTGAAACATATACCAAGTCTTTTTCTGTAAGAAGAAGAAGAAGACATATCAAGCTACTGCTGCATGTAATACAGCTGTTCTTTAGTTCCGAGTGTTGTGTGGAGAAGTTTTTCATTTTCCACATTACCTTAGCTTGGCCTTACAAACACCCTTACAATAATATTATCCTGGTTTAGAAATAGGGAAATTCTCACTGTTGAAGTTAGCAATGTTAATAAAAGATAAAGTCTATATCACAATAGGTCATATGTCAAATATACCAAAGTCTTCAGGAGGATGTGATTTTTTTTACATTCCACCTCCTATTGTGGTTACCATGACAATAACATACATTTTGTAAAAAATGTATTTGGATTTTTATTATTATTATTATTATTATTATTATTATTATTATTATTATTATCATCATCATCATCATCATCATCATCATCTAAAGACTGGATATAATTGAATTCTTCACATGTTCTGATTTCAAGTTCAGTCATCCTTTGGGTGAAATGCATTTTGCTTTTTTCAATGTGCTGTAAATATAACACAGTAACTGTAATAGGACTTCTTTGTACCCTTATTAATGTTTTTCTACAAATAAAGGATAAATATACAAATCCAGTAACACTCCCTCACTGTGTTCAAAATTCCTCAAAATTGGTAAACAGAAAAATTTCTTGAGAATTGTGAAATGTAAAGTAGTACATGTATTGTCAAATATGTTGTTTGAACATCATATTTTACAATACATTTACTCTTGTGTGACTGTGCACATGGACAATCAACTAACTTGCACTCTCTTTTGCCAGTTACAAGGTAAATTACTATTATCAAACTTCATGTATCTTAATAGTAATGGGATGTTACTTTGAATTTCATCATCATCATCGTCATCTTGAACTGTGGGATGAAAAGTCAGGGGACCTCTTCTTGGTTAATAGTAGACCTAAAATATTTCAGTCTTCCAGGTGTTCCTGTATAATCCACTTCTTTCTTGATCTTCTTATATCTCTCTGTCCAAGTGGTTTATATTTTAGGGAATAGCCTTTGGGAATCTTTCTTCTTTCATTTTTTTAATATGTTCTAGCCATTTTTGTGGTTATTTTTAACTTCCTCTGCTATGTTTGTTATCTTCAACCATTTCCTAGTCTTTTAGCTGTTAATCCAATCTAGAATAGCCAAGGTGGTGTTTCAGGAACCTCATTTGAGCTGCTTCTAGTCTTGGGTTGTCTCTTTGTTTGAGGTTCCAGGTTTCTGATCCATATAATAGCATTGGCTTAGTTGTCATATTGTGTATTCTTTATTTGGTTTCCTGTGGCAAGTCCTTCCCAGAATGCTTTTTAATTATTCCATTTATTGTATTCTATTTTATTTTAAATGTTTGTGTTGCGGGTCTTGGGAGTTTTGTCCAATGTCATTGCCTAAATATTTGAATGTGGAAACTTGCTCTGTTATTTCTCCTTCAATGACAATCTCCACCCTTCTTAGTTACTTACCTTGAAAGAACATTGTTTTTGTTTTCTTTGTCGAGATTTTCATGTACCTTGGATTTTATAATCTAATGCAGTGGATATAAAATACTGATAGTATATATTACATTTTAGTGTATGCAGGCCATGATTCTGCTGGTAGTGAATCATGTGGTGAAGATGATGATGCCTTTGAATATGAGGAAGAGGATAACAAAGAGCAAGGAAGCAAAGATCATGAAGATACTACTAGACCTAGTGTCTCTGATATTCACATTCCAACTGCTCGTGAATTGCGAGACTTAGCTCCAGCAGAAGCTGGACGCCGCCTCCTTCAGCAGCGGCACAAGTTAGCATGTATTCAACGTCAGTTGGTTCGTCAACAACAGCAATTGGAGGCTTTGCGCCAGCAGCGACCACCCATTGTACTTGGTTGCTGTTCTGGAATGGCTGATTTATCTCAGTCAATCCAGCAGACACTGGTTCAACCACCAGCAGCTATGCCTAGTGTTGCACCACAGGCACAAGTGGTTCACATACTGGAAATACCAGCAACACCCACGACTGGTTAGTAACTTAATCTATTTTCATTTCTTATTAATATATATAAATTTATAGTCTCTTTAGGTGTCTAAAATAGGCGCTTAAAAACCTGGAAATTTACTTAAGTAGGCAGTATACATCAACATCTTTTTCACATACATTTTATTTTGCTGCAAAATGTTTTTTTCACCCTTTGCACTGGGAAGGTTTTTAAGAAAATGCCTCTAGGGTAGGGGTCCTTAACAGGGTCAATATCTGCCCCCTGGGGATCAAAGAATATCAAGAGGTCAATTGGGGGTCTAATAAGAACTGGCGAGTGATCAGTATAAACAAGATCAAGATGTGTCTGATTACAAAAATATAAATTATCTTAATAAATAAATGTTTCATGTTTTAAAGCAATAAAACTTAAAATAATAAATTACAAATTTCTTTATCATCTTTTGTAGCTAGATTGGTGCTAGGCATAGCTAGACAGGTGCACCTTACCAGGGCCGTGCTGTCAAGGGGCCTCTACTAAGGATTCCCTTGGACAAGGCTCAGCAAAGAATTAAAATCTCATTCCATATGTATTTTCTCCGTTGCATGCCTGCATTTTTAGACAATTAGATTTCAAATTCTTAATTGTTTAGCAACCAGAGACAGGGGTCCTATTTAGACTTTCTATATTGAATCTCTGATAACCTAGTTATTCCACTGCTTAGGATATTTAGAAAATTCAAGAAATTATAAATATGCATTCACAACATGAACTGAATCACAAAAAAAGTGTTGTCTGCAGAAATATTATGGTGAGTTCTTAAAAATTGCTCAACATATTGAACAACAATTTAGATTATAAACTTAACTACTCAGAAGCATTTTTAATTATGAAAATTGGGATATTTACAAAAACATTGGTATGCGAAATTGTTCTCTTTATTTTATGTGCAATTCTTTGTGTCATGGTTATGTATGCTATGTATTGTAGAGGAAATGTAAGGGGGTTGAGGAGCATAGAAATATACGAGTATTCAAGGGATGATGCAAGAAAAAGGTTTGGAATCTCTGATTTAGGGTTTAATGGCCCGTAGTTGTGGCCACTGCCATGTCTGAGTTAGCTGTTATTACTTTCTTGCGCTTAAGAAGAGAAAGTTGCGTAAAGCTGCGCGAAACAAAGGTGAAATTTTGGCAGAAAAGCTCTTATAAAGGGGCCCTGGTAATGAAAGTGGATTGATTTAGAAAAAAATTCCTCTTAACACATAGTGTAGCCAGAATCACGCTCTGAAAATCCTGCGCTTCTTGATTGTATTTTGGATGTGTTTTGAAGCAGATGGATGCGAAATAAGTTAAAATTAAATATTATTTCATTTTAATATTATTATTTATATTATATGTATGTTGCTTCATTTTAAAGTGTGTTAAATGTGAAAACAAATAGGTGAGCAGTCATTGTCGGTTGTTGTTACTCGTAATGCCAAACAGTTAACAAAAGGTGATAATGACAGCTACTTTTCATTCATGGTAATAAAAATGAATCCTTTTATGTATTTGTAGAATATTACAATACCATAGTGGTTAATAATTACTATTACATATTTTTCTATCTATTTGTTTGCCATTGCTATCAGTTTTGAATTATTTATTTACTTTTAATTACTTTACTTACTTGCATTTTGCTTATTATTTACGTAGGCCATTCTGCGATTTCAAATGAGTTTTACAAAAAATAATTTGAAGAGAAATTGTTGTATAAATAGTATTACATTACCATTACTAATGGTGAGAAAGTACGTGCTGTTTTAGCACCACTAGTTTTTTTTTATTTGTGTTTCTCAAAGCTATAACAGTGATATCATAGTGTGCTGGCCAAGTGAAAATTCCTCGAACACTCTCCTGACCAGTGGGAGTGAATACAAAAATAAAATACCTTCATTTATACCTACAGGTTTGACAGATAGTGCTTAAACCTCTTTAAGTTGTATCTTTTTGTTTCTCGCCTTTTTCAGTTCTTTCTTCATACGAATGGAGCTAATATAAACTTTATCTGTAATGATCTGTTATACTTGTTGGTTCTTATGTAATATAATGAAGTGTCATTTAAAATCTATAGTAATGTATAATTGAGGCCAAAACAGTTTAAGAGATTGTTGTTGCACTGTACATTCATTGAGTGCAGTTCATAAAATGACAGTAACGGAGTTTGTTGAGCCTGAAAAAGCAAGAAAAATTAATGTCGAAATAGGAAATCACAAAGAAGATGGAGAATATAAATATCCGCAGATTATAGATGAAGATTTAGTCTAAGACAATAGTACATAGAGAAGGTGGAGATTAAAGATGAAAGGATAAAAGCACTTTGGAAAAATAAATCAAAGGAAATTATTTTATTTCTAAATCTAAATGATAAAAAAATACTATGATTTGGAGAAAAAATGGAAATTATGGATTGTATGTAAAATAATTAGTGCTGAAAGATTAAAGTGCCAATTACATCATAATTACAAATTCAGTAACCTGCAACCAAAATTATATTTATACTATTTATGTGTTGATATCAACAATATAATATAGTAATTAATTTTATAAGATAAATTCCTCGTCTAATTGAATACGCCATATGTAATAGATATTCAGTAAAAAATATTCAGTGGCATGTGATGGACAAAATCATGGCTGATCCTATGCTGAAAATCAAGAGGTCAGTCTGGACGGCCGTAAGAGCTGAGAGCACTGCTCGCTAGGAAAATATATAGAGCTAACTGGGAGTGAGGTGAATATATAGAGCCAGTATAACTATCAGTTTTAGTTATACTGGGTTAAAAATATGGATATGATCTACTGAAAAGAACACAGAAACGTAAATGCTTAAACACCAATGACTTTAATTTATCAAATGTTTTTGTATCAAGAAAAAAGTTCTTGTATTCAACACTTCTGCATATTTAAGTATTGATAAAACAGATGGTGTGTTAATTGTCTCTACCTCTTCTGATGCAGGGGGAAGTCAGTCATTCATTTTTTATTTATTGCAGCAAACTAGCTGAAGGAACTTGGTATTACGCGAGCATTTATTTGTTACAACCATCTGTTAGACAGGAAAAGGAATACATTCTATTTACAGTGTAAAATGCAAGTAATTTTATTTACATCCTGGTCATGCTCCTCTCCATCACAACCAGTTTGAAACTTTGCTTTATTATCAATTAAACATACATGATATACAAACTGGATATATGGAGCAATTTTTTGCAGTTTTTGAGGCATTTGTGAAAAAGTTAGTGTGTGCACTTAAATTAAACTTTAAGGAGCAAGGGAGGCCATAGAAATTTAATTTTGATATGAATGTATATCATGTTGAACTATTCCAAGTAAAGATGTATCAATATAAAAGTTTCTAGAAACTTTTATTATTGGACTTTATTATTTAACTTGAAACATGAATTATTGGGTGAAACACTTTTGCAGGATAGGCAAATACTGGGTGGAATTCTGTTAAGAAATGCTTTTGAATTTATTCTTTAAGGTTGCCATTACACTGAACAGGCTTCTTCTGAATAAATAGGCATTTATACCCTGATAGAAAAATAGGTAAATAAAGCCCTCCACGTTTTGTTCCTTGATATTGTAAAGTCATGAAATGGGTTTATTATTAATTGTGAGCATCTACACCAGAAGAGTAAAATAGGTGATTGCATACATCTGAAAGCTACTAAAATTTCGTGGGTGACTAGGATTGTGTTTTAGCTTTGTTTCTCCACCCACTTCCAAGTTTCACCTTTCCATAATTGTATTTACAGTATAATAGAAATATCGATTTAAGGAATTGCTGATAAAATTGAGTTCTAAAGAATGTTTGGTTACTAAGTTGGAAGTGACATTGACTCTTTAGAAATGGTATAAAAAATAATTCAATTAGCAATTACAGTAGATATCAAAACGGATATCTTGCATAAGTGGCGTAGTCGTTAAGGAAAATGTATTTGCAAAAAAGTATTTGAGAGGGGTAAAAAAAAGAAAGAAAAAAAAAGTGGCTCTAAGAGCTGTATACAGGGAAAATTTGTAATAAAATTGTAAAAACATAGTAACTTCTTATTCACGCATATTGATATTTATAATAAATTACAGTTTTTCTTATGAAATTGTATAATATATATTTATGTGATGCAGTGATTCCAAGTGTTCCAGAAACCTGTCAGCAACAGCCTACTTTATCTGTACTCTCCAGCTCAGGAGAATTTGAGCCCATAACAAACATTAGTGTCAATGTAGCTCCTGGGCAGCCTATGGGCACAGTCTATTTCATTCCAGAATATGAAACTGTATCTTCCATACCTACTGATCACATGTCTGGTAAGAATTTTTTCAAGATTCTAAATTTCATTTTTGACCCAATTAGAATTGAAAATCATGAATGAAATATTTCTGTTATAATATAAAAAATCATATTGTATCATTATTATTTGATATATAATAACTAATAAAGGCATCTGCAAAGTCTATAGCTTAACTCGCAACCTATGTCTGGAAACACCACCTCTTGTTTTGGCAATTTAGAAACGCATGAATTACCTTTGGCATCCCTTTCACTTTTGGCAACCCACAGCCATGTACCCTCAGATTTCGGAGTGAGAGAATGTGACAAATTGTAGTTGGAAGAAAGAGAAAGCAGTTATTCTGTCCTTGTTAGTCATCAACATACTGCAGTCACTGCAGTGAAAAGAGCAAACGCTTGTCTCTTGGCAAACGGTGGTCACATTGAGCATTATACTCATGGTCAGTTGTTTTGTTATTTTTTATCAGTATTTTTAATAAATTTATTAAGGCCTTCTCTGTTTAATAATCAGATTCAATAATAATAATAATAATAATATGAATATGAATATAACATATATTATATATAATATAATAGTAATATAATATTATAATAATATATAATATTATATAATATAATAATAATATGAAGAAGAAGATACAAAATGACGATTCTTGGAGTGTATGCGCAAAATAGAAATGAAGATACTAGTATTTTACAGGAATTTTTCTCGAAAATAGACGGAGTAATCAGTGAATGTGGGCTAAATAGAGAACTTATCTTATTGGGTGATTTGAATGCTAGAGTGAGAAAATCTGAGTGCTCAAAAGTCATTGGACAACATGGAGAAGAGGTGGAAAATTCAAATGGAAAAAGATTGATT